TGAAATATTATTATTAAACATATTTCCAAAGGAGTTTGATAAAGGTGATAGATACTTGATAGTACACCTATCTACTGCAGCAAGAATATTATATGCAAAATATTGGAAACAAATGGAAACACCAAAGAAGCAAGAATATGTGAATAAACTGTTGGAGATGGCTGAAAATGACAAATTGTCATTGTTGATGAGAGGGACAACAGACCCAACATTTCAAAAGACGTGGAAAAAACTGTATGATTGGTACAATATAAATGCATAGCTTAAAGTAATGAAATTTTTGGTATTATTAATCTTTTTTAGTTAAATAGAAACTATGGTAAAAAGATAAGCGTATACAGAAACAAGCAAACTTATAGAAATTCTTTAAATATGGTAATAGAGTTATAAGATAATATACTGATCTCTTTGTATGTTTTATGTGTGTAAGTGGATGTATGTTATGTAGTATGTTTGTTTGTTGGTGTATAATATGAAAAATAATAAAAGTGTACCTTATGGGTACTTAAAAAAAAGAATAACAACCTCCCTCATAGAGTTATTAGGAGGTTAAACATGGAAAGAATTTTTTAGAAATAAATAACACCAAGCAGAGGTATCTTATTTCTTCTGAGGAATTGGCCTGTTTCTTTTTCTGAGGTAACAACACTGAATCATAAATATTTCCGCACACACCTAGAGGACGGCCTTTCACTGGGAAGACCGCTTTTGATTGAGGATATAAGTGAAGAATTAGATCCTGCCCTTGATAATATATTAGAAAAGAACTTCATTAAATCAGGAAGCTCTTTCAAGGTTAGTTACCTTACAAAAGTAAAATTTTATTCATTGTTTAAATGTGTGATCAATGGCTGCCCATTTCAGTGGGTAAATGATAGAAATTCTGTGTGCCCAGGTGAGCACCTCTTCACCACATGGCCACATTTTTCTGTACGTTACAGAATCTGACCCACCCGGCCTTACCTCACTCAGCAAGGGACGGGATGGGTCTGCCTGGTCTCCTGGCCATCCTTTTCAGCCCTAGTAGTTGCTCAAGTGGGGAGCTCCTAGAAGTGCCAGAATAGATTCTCTCACTTCTATCTAGGATAGCTAAATGAAATTATATGTTACCAGTGGAGTTGTTTGAGCTGCAAAGGAGGTGGTTGCATTAAGGGCATTAATTTTCTGTCTTTGCTGGAAATCAGCAATAAAACTGTGCTTTAGTATATCAACTAACTAGAGGTCTGTTAGTGTCCTTAATACATTTAATGTATACTAAATTATAGTGCCAGTGGAGCTGCCTCCGCATACCAGCAACCCCAGCAAGGAGCTTTCGTGGAAAGTGAGAAGTAGAGGTGGTTGGCCATTTCCTTCCTCTGCAGAGTCTTCCTTGGTGGTATCGTTTCCAAATACTGACCCTGCTTAGCTCCTGAGATCTGATGAGATCAGGCTATACCATTCTGCCCCCCCCCCATCACTTACTACCTGATTGTTAACTGGAGATGCCAGAGACTGAACTATTAGAAGAGTTAGATGACCATTAGAACAGTTCAACCAGTCCAGTTCATGTTCTGTCTCCCTGATTTACCTTACCAGTTGGAGCACTCCCAGAGAGTCCTGGGTCCTCTCACTCCCTTGCAGTAGTTGAGAGGGACTGGAAAGAGATCACTTTCTTCCTTTTTATTATTGCTGTTTCCCATTTCCTGCATGGTAATTTTGGCTGGAATATTGTGTGCCTGCCTTACAAGTGCAATACTTTCATTCAGGGCTATTTTTGGGCAGGAATGCAGAGGAACGGAGTTCTGGCTGGCTTCAGAGTTGGCCACGCCCATTACAGCCAAAACCTCTGCGTGCGTGGCTACAGAGGGAAGGCCTGGAGAGCGACCCCCTGGCAACTCCGAGGCAGGTGAGCCAGGGGGTCCCTGGAAGGATTGGGGAGGTATTTAGATGCCTCCCCGTGCCTTCCCCACAGCTCCCCGCAACTGCCTTCCCTTCCCTTTAAGGGGGTGCCCGGGCAAGCCAAGGGAAGGCATGGGGGTGTAGCCTAATATGCTAATGAGCTGTGCTGTCAGGGGTGTGCCCTAATACGCTAATGAGTTTATGCTGTTGAGTGTGGCCTATTATGCTAATGAGTTCCTGCTGGGCTTTTTCTACAAAAAAAGCCCTGCTTGAATGGGAAGGCTAGATAGCCTGGGGACAGGCAAAAACCCTAGGGGAGTATAGAGGAAGAAATTCCTGAGTTGCAGGATGATTAGAAGAACATTAAGAATTATTTGTTGTACCTAGTAGATTAAGTGCATTTAATTGTGCATAAATAATGGGGATATTAAATGTATCTTGAGTTATTTCAAGTGAATAATTATCTGTCTCAGTAATTAATAGTACTGAGCAACAGTACTGATTACAATGCAATAAAATGTTGTTTGAATTGTTTTCTAGGTGAAAGTTGGGGATAAGGAAGTAGATATCATGAATACATTTAAACTTTATATTACTACAAAACTGCCCAATCCTGCCTTTACGCCTGAGATCAATGCTAAAACATCAGTCATTGATTTTACTGTTACTATGAAAGGCCTTGAAAATCAGTTATTGAAGAGAGTAATTCTTACAGAGAAACAGGTAAGGTCACCAGTGACAATAAACTTCTATGAATAGCATGATGAAACAATAATGCTTCATGGATGCCTAAATGTTGATACTGAAGTGGTAGTCTGGATCTCATCAAGAGTAGGCCATGGTGGTTTAAGATCGTGTGTAGGGGGAGGGGTTGAATAGATTTTAGGAAGAAATTACAAATGGGCCAGATTTGTCAAAGGAACCTTCCACTCACAGACTCCTTCAGTGAATGAAAGATTCCTCCATGAACAGAAGGGTATCTTAGGATCAAACCCCATGTCTTTATTACACGGCGAAATAAGACATTTGCTAGGGAGAAGCCATAAGCGCAATAGGGGGGTTAATCCTTCCTCTCCAACTTCTTTTCTTCTGTAGCTCTTCTCTTTGCCACTTTCCCCCCATCAGGTTTTTTGAGACATGTTTGCTTGTCTGTTGAAAAAAAGTAGTTGCAGAAGAAAGTTTCATAGGAAAGCTGGTGCATGTGAAATGGTTAGGCACCCCTTGTTAGCATAGTTTTGGAAACTCTGTATTTGCAGCTGAATGTGCAATTGAACACAGACATGAAGGTGCCTTCCCCACAGCTCCCCGCAACTGCCTTCCCTTCCCTTTAAGGGGGTGCCCGGGCAAGCCAAGGGAAGGCATGGGGGTGTAGCCTAATATGCTAATGAGCTGTGCTGTCAGGGGTGTGCCCTAATACGCTAATGAGTTTATGCTGTTGAGTGTGGCCTATTATGCTAATGAGTTCCTGCTGGGCTTTTTCTACAAAAAAAGCCCTGCTTGAATGGGAAGGCTAGATAGCCTGGGGACAGGCAAAAACCCTAGGGGAGTATAGAGGAAGAAATTCCTGAGTTGCAGGATGATTAGAAGAACATTAAGAATTATTTGTTGTACCTAGTAGATTAAGTGCATTTAATTGTGCATAAATAATGGGGATATTAAATGTATCTTGAGTTATTTCAAGTGAATAATTATCTGTCTCAGTAATTAATAGTACTGAGCAACAGTACTGATTACAATGCAATAAAATGTTGTTTGAATTGTTTTCTAGGTGAAAGTTGGGGATAAGGAAGTAGATATCATGAATACATTTAAACTTTATATTACTACAAAACTGCCCAATCCTGCCTTTACGCCTGAGATCAATGCTAAAACATCAGTCATTGATTTTACTGTTACTATGAAAGGCCTTGAAAATCAGTTATTGAAGAGAGTAATTCTTACAGAGAAACAGGTAAGGTCACCAGTGACAATAAACTTCTATGAATAGCATGATGAAACAATAATGCTTCATGGATGCCTAAATGTTGATACTGAAGTGGTAGTCTGGATCTCATCAAGAGTAGGCCATGGTGGTTTAAGATCGTGTGTAGGGGGAGGGGTTGAATAGATTTTAGGAAGAAATTACAAATGGGCCAGATTTGTCAAAGGAACCTTCCACTCACAGACTCCTTCAGTGAATGAAAGATTCCTCCATGAACAGAAGGGTATCTTAGGATCAAACCCCATGTCTTTATTACACGGCGAAATAAGACATTTGCTAGGGAGAAGCCATAAGCGCAATAGGGGGGTTAACCCTTCCTCTCCAACTTCTTTTCTTCTGTAGCTCTTCTCTTTGCCACTTTCCCCCATCAGGTTTTCTGAGACATGTTTGCTTGTCTGTTGGAAAAAAGTAGTTGAGGAAGAAAGTTTCATAGGAAAGCTAGTGCATGTGAAAGGGTTAGGCACCCCTTGTTAGCATAGTTTTGGAAACTCTGTATTTGCAGCTGAATGTGCAATTGAACACAGACATGAAACTGCTTTATACTGAATCAGACCATTAGTCCATCAAGCTCTATATTCTACTTGACTGGCAGCTCTCCAGGGTTTCAGGTGAAGCTCTTTCATATTACCTACTGTGTGTAAACTATTATCAAGTTAAAGCCAACTTATGGCAACCCCAGCAAGGGGCTTTCAAGGCAAGTGAGAAGTAGAGGTGGTTGGCCATTCCCTTCCTCTGCAAAGACTTCCTTGGTGGTTTCCCTTTTAAGTGCTGGCCCTGCTTAGCTATACCATTCTACCTTCCCTCTTCCCTCTGATCATTAACTGGAGATGCCAGAGATTGAACCTAGGACGTTCTGCATGCCAAGCAGATGCTCTAACACTGAGCCACACCCTCTCCCCAAATTAGTTCCACTGATAAAGACTATATTAGAGATACTTTGAAGGTTTCAGCAACATGTTTGAAATTTGTGCTGATGGTAAATATTGAACAAATCCCCCTTGTTTAGTGTAAGATATAAAAAAGATAGAAGTCTCTATAAATTAATAAATTATAAATAAATTGATTTTTAAAAAACGTATAAAACACAGATGTGGAGTGTAATGTCGGCAAATACATTGTCATAAAACAATGGTAAATGGTTTTTATGGTGCATCTCTTTCTATATTAAATGTATTAAATATAGGAACTGGAAGCAGAGAGAGTAAAACTCATGGAAGATGTAACTTACAATAAACGGAAAATGAAAGAACTGGAAGACAATCTCCTTTATAAATTAACTGCAACTAAGGGTACTATATTATTTTTATTTATTTATGAAGACTGACCTGTGCCCCCTTTCATAAGTTCATGGACGTGAAATATAAACATGGATTTACAACAACAACAACAACAACAACAACAAAATCTTACCTCTGGTTTACTGCTCAGTGCAGTTGTTTTAAGGTATTTTGGTCCTTCTTGACTCCAAAGATTGAGTCTCTGAAGTCCCAGGAACTGATAATTAATTGTGATGCTTTTGGAACTTTTTTTTTTGCAGGTAAAATCTCTTAATACATTCTGATTTGGATGCTGGCTGTAATATAGCTAAAACACTAGAAATCCTTGTATACTGCTAGGTCCATTTAGGGATCATTTTGATCTAGCTGTCGTAATTCCTGAAAGAATTCTGTGGTCTGTTACCTGTTACATGGATTCTTGTCACTTCCTGGTTACAGAAATCATGGAAGGATCACATCAGTGAGTCCCTGATGTCAATTATAAATCAATCACTGAGCCAGAGCACCTTTCTTTGGTCTCGAACACAAATGATCATCTATTAGCTACTTAAAACAACCTTTGCTAGAACACAAATATGTGGCCAATTATTGCCCAGTCTCTGGCTGCGGTCACACACACTAAATAATCCAATTTCAATCCACTTTCAAACTGGATTTTTACTGTGTGAACTGACACAATCCAGTTGGAAAGTGCATTGAAAGCTGATTGAAAGTGGATTATTTAGTGTATGTGACCACAGCCTCTAATTCTCTATTACTGGGCCAGATGATGGAAAGAGTAGTAGCAGAACGACTCCAGGACTACCTAGACAACTTTCTTTCAGTCTGGTTTCAGACCAGGCTACAGAATGGAGATGACACTCTGTCCAAATGTAGACAAGGGCTGTACCTCATTGTTGTTCTTACTGGATTTATCAGCAGTAGGGATGGGCATGAACTGGCTCACGAACTAAAGTTCATGATGAATTTTGGGCAGTTCGTAGTTCATAAAGTCTAGTTCGCGGCAGGTCAACCGGCACAAACTTTCCATGAACTTTCAAGCAATGTGTGGTGGTTCATGGTGGTTTGTAAATGGATACATTTCCAGACAGACTGTCTCAACTCAATCTAAATGTATACCAAACTTCAAAGCAACAAGGGGCAGAACTTGGAGGGCAGTAGAGGAACATCAGGGGAGGTCGCCTGTGACTTTTTTGTTTCTAGCTTGCACAGGATCCATTCTATACACACCTGAACCTCCTGAACCTGCACCTGTCACAATGACCCCCTGTCATTTCCCCAGAAAGCACTTTCCTGGGGGCACCTTCTTTGGGGGGATGTAATTTGGACCCTGTAAACCAAATTGTTACCAAACTGGGAGGGCAATTAGAGGAGAGTCAGATGGAGAGCCCTCTGAGTTTGGTGTTTCTCACACACTCGTGGGTCATCCTACCACCTCATGAACCTCACAAACCTAACCGGTTCATTTTTCAGATAAAAGTTTGTGACGGTTCATGGGTCACGAACTCGGCACATCACAAACTACAAACCAAACCAAATTTTCCCAGTGTATGCCATCAGCAGCCTTTTATACTGTGGACCATGTCATTTTATTGAGATTTGGACACAGAAGTAGGGATTAAGGGATGTGTATTGGATTGGTTTCAATAATTTCTTATGAGCATAACTCAAAGGGTTGCTGTTGCTGACCAGTTGTAATTGGTGTAGGACTTGCCTTGTGGGATTTCAGAAAGCTCCATCTAATCCCTTTGCTCTTCAACTTCTATGTTGAACTTAAAGGATATCATTCATTGTTTTGGTGATAACATCCAGCTCTATTTTTTTTCTAAATCACCTGGTGACACCTGGTGACACTATAGATGTCCTGAACTGGTATCTTCCCATGGTGTTTAAATGGCTAAGGGAGAATATGTTTAAACTGAACCCTGACAAGGCGGAAGTAATTCTGGTTGGGAAGGAAGAATGCACAAAGACTGTTCCTGTAGCCAAAAGAAATGAAAAGCCTCAATGGATGACTGATTAAATTCTTCTTTTTTTGTAAAAAATTTTTATTCAGGACATAAACATTCATATTCAACCTTACATTTTCCATATTATTCTCATCATAATCAATCTTAAATTTTTTAGCTTAATCCCTGTTACATCCTACCCCCTCCCTTTCCCCCTCCCTTATACATGGCTTCCCACAGTGTTCCGACCTCCTGCTCAATATTTTCTCTATTTTTATATATTTCATTCTTAAAATCACTAGGTAACTTTTGGTTCAATTCTATACTTAATAAGTATTAAAGCAAAACAAATTGTCCTTTATTTCCCAATATTTTTCTAAATATTCTTTTAAATCTCTCCAGTCATTATAAAATCCTTCTGCTTCCCTATTATCTAATTTCCTTGTCATTTTGTCCATTTCAACTGCAAACAATAATTTTTTTATCCAGTCTTCAATCTTCGGGACTTCTTCTTGTTTCCAACACTGTGCATATGTAATTCTAGCTGTTGTCACCATATACCACATCAAATTTCTTTTATGCACATTATTTTTCTCCAAATTCAGTCCCAAAAGTAAAAGTTCTGGTTCTTTTTTAAATGTAGATTTTACAATCTTTTCCATCTCCGAATTAATCTGAGTCCAATAGCTTTTTGCTTTATCGCAAGTCCACCACATATGGTAAAAAGAGCCCTCCCCTTTTTTACATTTCCAACACTTATTTGACATATTAGTATTCATGTTAGCAATTTTTTTCGGTGTCATGTACCACCTGTACATCATCTTATAACAATTTTCTTTGAAGTTATTACATGTTGATATTTTCAATGCATGTTTCCATAGGTACTCCCAAGA